CAAACCTCATTTTTTCCAAAATTTAGATTATAGAAATGACATGTATTTAGGGTTTGGCAGGAAGTTGCAGTATCAAATAGACTGATAAACATGAAGAACCTAGTAAACGCCTTAAATGTGAGAAGGAAACCCAGTAGTGGCTTTACTCTGGGCCAGGTAGCCATTTAAATAAAATAGAATGCAATATTCCTTCTTTGGAGGATGAGAGAGAGATAGCAGCATAGCCAGGGACAGTGGGTAGGATTGAAGGAAGACTTGAATATGCATTTAAGAACTAATTTCAGGATATCGTGTAGCCCACGTGCCATGGTGGATAGTGTGCAGAGCCTGGAGTTAGGGAGACCTGAGTTCAGATGTGCCTCTGACACTGACTGCTGTGTGTCTCTGAACAAGTCACCTAACCTCTTTTTTTACCTCAGTTTCCTTATTTGTAAAATGGAAATAATAACACCACCTGCCTTCCAGGGTTGTTGTGAGGATCAAATGAGATAATAGTTGTAAAGTCCTAAGCCCCTGGTAAGCTCTCTGTCCATGCTGGTAGCTGTAGCGGCAGCGGCGGTAGTGGCAGCGGCGGTGGCGGCGGCGGCGGCAGCAGCAGTAGCTCTTGCTGTTGTTGTTAGCTTTATGACTCTGAGCACCATGGGTTTCATTTTCCTCATCTGTAAAATGAAGGGATTGGACTAAATGATTTTTGAGGTCTTTCCCAGCCCTAAATCTATGATTCTGAAATCCTATATAATCTCCATTTCAGAGATTAGGTTACTGAGGCCCACAAATGGAGAGTGTTATTTGAATTATGTTGACCTGCCTTCTTTTTGTTTCCTTTTCCCTACCCTGACACTCCTTATGTGGTCTTATATTTATCTTTCTTATGCAGTATTCAAATAATTCCTTACAATTATCAAAACAAACTTGAAAATATTTCTTTTAAGTAGTTTATGTGCAGTAGTAATCCTCTGGGTCAGGGATGGGGAACCTGTGGCCTCGAGGCTGCAGGTGGCCCTCTAGGTTCTCAAGTGCGGCCCTTTGACTGAATCCAAAATTCACAGAACAAATCTCAAGGCCACATGTGGCCTGGAGGCTGCCAGTTCCCCACCCCTCTGCCCTGGGTTAACATTGAGACCATGAAATAAATTTTTTGTTGAAATTATTCTCCAGTGAAATAGAAATCTGTATGCATTACCAAAACATTTTCTGATGATTTAAAGGAGAAAAACAGTCGGCAATTTATCGACCCAATTGGTAGGACCGGCTTTGCTTCAAAGATGATTATTTCAGTTAAAGTACTGAGAAGCATATCTGGGTTAAATTTGAACCATTTCATCTGTTTTACTTACAGATACTGAATAACTTCTAACAATTTTATCTAAAACTCTGTATGGATAAATTAGCCCCCCAAAATCTTAAGATGATATTCCTTAGCAGCGATACTAAAAGCATATTTTTTAAAAGCACATTTGAAAATGGAACTAGACCAAAGTAGCCAATTATGAGAGCTGCTAGAGTGATTTCATAAAAAATAATTGAATTGGGGACCTAGAGATCATATGGTAATGACAGTGCAAAAACAGTTCACTTGTTAATATCACTAGGAGTTGTACCTTGCCAAAGTACATTATTGTTTTATTTTGGTTAGTAGGATCTGGGCTATTATATTTAAGTAGTTGTTTGAAACTTGAAATGTGGTTTCCCATGGAAGCAGTGTTGTGGTTCCCAGGTTAGCCGACTAAAAAACTATGTAACTCACAATGTCCCTGAAATCCTTTACTTGGTTATGAAGAGTGCACAGATCATCATGCCCTTTTGTGTCCTGGAGGCAACTCTGGATTTTTAATGGCTATGCCAGTAGAGAACATGCATGGGTAGGTCCTTCCTGTGAAGCTGGAAAGACTTTAGGAGGCCCTTTAGTAGAGTGCAAAGAACCCTGGGCTTGGAATTGGAGTGCTGGACTGAACTCCCATTACTTACTTACTCTGACCATGGACAAGTAAGCACCTTTAAATTTTTTCATCTGTCAAGTGGGAATCATCATCTCCGCAGTACTCACCTCCCAGGTTGTTGGGGAAATCAAATGGCGTGATATATGTGAAGCACTCAGCAAACTTGGAAGGACCAGATCTAGAGGTCATCTGTTAATTCAGACTAGGGAACACCCGTGGGTTATTGGCCCAGGGAAGTTCATTCCTATAAGCTGGGCCTCAAGAAAGCTCACACACCTACTAGAGCAAAGACATGGATACCAAAATGGGTAAATTATGGTGGGATATAAGGTAGTGACTAACTTTAATAAGACGTTGAACCTGGAAAACAATTTTTTCTTCTGAAATGCAAAATACAGCAGAAAACTATAGAATATATTTGTAGTAACAGTAGAGGTTCATAGAGTTGCCACACTTAGAACAATTATTGAGTAAAAGTAGAGTAGAATAATTAATAACTATTCATTTCCATGTTAAGCCAAAGTGAATGTATGGAAATATAGGTTTACTGAAGTACTCTATCCACTTACACTGTTTGAGTGATTTTAATTTCTTTTAGGTTTATGAAAACGCTAATGAATAAAGTAACATTTTTCACTTTAGAAACTTCTTGACCTAGTATTTTGTCATAATATGGAAGAGAGATTTTTAAACAAAATGTAGTTTAAATACAGAAATAGTCATCCCTGAGCAAAATGCCTGACAAAGGAACATAGCTCCTTATTTCCATGATGTTTAATTAGTCTTGAGAGAACCATCAACTTGTTGCTTAATTATAATATGTGATTTTATGAAGTGCCTATTGATTAGCCAAATTTCCAGTTGTCCTAATGAGAAATATTTGTGCAGTTCTCTCTAAGGAGAGCAACTTAAATTACCAAGAGCACCTTGACCTTCTTTTGCTGTCCCTAAGAATTAAGCATAAATGCAGAGATTTCCTTTTCTGGGTCAAGAAAATACATTAGTTTTCAATACCATAATCTTAAATAAGTTGAACTTGAATGCTACTCAGTTGACCTTCTTGGTCATATTATATAATTTTTAAAAATAGGTTAGCAAAACCACCGACAGTAACCGTGACTTAGAGCGCATGGGATGTTTCATACTTGTAATTCCCCACCAATGAGGAGAGGGATTTTCTGTTGTCTTTTCTCCGGGACCAAGATTGGTGGTTATGTTTATTTAGAATTCAGTTTTGATTTCCATTTTATTACAATGCTGATTTTTCCTTAGTAATTTTAATGCCATAGTAGGAAAAGATGAGATTGGGGAGAAATGTATGAGAGGGCTTAATTCAGGAAGAAGGACTGAGAGAGGCCTAAAATTTGTAAATTACCCAGAAGCTCACGCTTTTATGTCCTCAATACCATTAACCCTTCCAGAAAAGAACTGATTGGTGCTGGGCAGGGTGAGCACTAAATAGCGTCACAAAAAATTTGAAATAGAGTATAATTTCATAGACTGGAAAAGACTTGTGGGAGTTATCTCTCAGAATTAGGATTCACTGTTTGTATACTGTCAGAAACCATCAGCTTTTCAGAACTAAGATAAGAAGGGAGGAAACAAGCCTTAAGCCTTTACTATGCTACTATGCTAAATCCTGGGGATACAGCTAACGCTAAAAAAAAAAAGATGGACCCTGCCCTCAAGGACCTCCCATTCTAATGGGGGAAGACAATACACAAGGTTGGGAGTGGGAGTGGGAAAAGTATTGGTCTATAGGCATGGTATTGGGGGCAGCCAGGTGGCATAGCAGATAGAGTGCCAGCCCTGGAGTCAGAAAGTCTTATCTTCCTGAGTACAAATCCAGCCTCATGCACTTACTAGCATTGTGACCCTAGGCAAGTCACTTAACTGAGTTTGCCTCAGTTCTTCATCTGCACAATGAACTGGAGAAGGAAATGATGAACTGTTACCTATACCACAAATTCCACTAAGCCATTGTTGAATCAGGAAGAAGCTTTACTAACGACCTGGGAAGGCCAGGGGTCCCATGTGTGTGAGAGCACTCACGTGAGGGCACCTGTGTCAACAGATACACATCTTTTTATTCCCTATTCCTGATTCGAATTTCTTTTCCCTGTTTCCTGATTGGCTGTGTACTATAGAGGTTACAGCCTATCAGAAGTGCCTAATTTCCCCACATGAGTTCTCTACCCCTAATTACATCTCACTCCCCACAATTCTTTGACCCTGGCCCTTATTTATTTTTCTCTTATTTATGTATGCCCACATCCCTTCTGCTTGGGATATAGATGTGTTAATCTATGTCTAACCTCAGAACAGTTTTTGCTGGTCAGTCCATTCATCCACCAACTCTGCTTGATGGCTGCCTTTGTTCAACTTCCATGCAGCCCCTAGACTGCATCTTTGTGGAAGTGAAAACTAGCTACCTCTCACATTCCCTCCCAGTTTAAGCTGACCCCAGTGTTGTCACATGGGCGTCCACCCGCTGTTTGAGTGATACGTAGAAGCAACATTCCCAACCACATTTTCCACAAAAGCACTGCAGTATCTTTGGCAGGAAAGCTCCAAATGGGGTCATGAAGAGTCGGACATCACACACACACACACACACACACACACACACACACACACACACACAC